TTTGGATTTTAGAGTGAAAACTTCCTTATTGTCTAAAACCTTTAAAATAGACGACTTTTTTCTCCAGAATATTTCGAAAACCTATCCTTTTCCGTCTTTGTTGTTTTTTACTCGTCAATAGTAGATCAGAGGTCTGGGAGACAACAAACAAAGAATTTTATGGGACTAAAACCCAAACTCAGCTGTTTATACATCAGATTAGTTAAGTTTATAAAGTTTTCATAGTTCTCTCTTTCATAAGCTAGTAACGTATGTGAATTTTGAGGTATCCAAATCATGAAGGTCAATATTACAGTTTTCCATTTACAAAATCAGCACTGTCCACAGGTTTAATGCTGCTGAAAGCACGACATAGGTTAACAAGATCATGTGTAACTGATATCTGTCGTTTAATGAGTAATTGTCGAGTTCCAAATACTCCACTAAGTTATCAGGTAGTGAAGTACACACTCGAACAAGATATGATTGATGAACTCGATACCGAAACTTACTATATTTGTACAAGTTGTTATCACGCCTCGAAACGCCGTGAAAGTTGTGCCAATGAAAAGTGCCATGAGAATAATTTATTTGAAAAACCTCCTTCGAGTTTTTACACATTTTGTGTACGTCATCAAATCGAGCATATTCTGCGAAATCTTAATGTGCAATTAAATATTAGACCTCAAAAAAACAGCTCAATGATCGATATCAGTGATGGCGATTTTTATCAAAATATCCTATCGTTAGAAAATGATGATTTTATTACGTTTGTGTTGAATGTTGATGGAATATCGTTATCAGACAGCTCAGATCAGTCATTATGGATATTTTTAATGATAATCAACGAGATTCCACGAAACGTTCGTTTTCAGTTACAAAATATAATCATTCCAGGTATTTGGCCTGGACCAAAAAAACCAACAAACCCTGAATTACAAACAATGTTATCCATTATAGTTGATGAGCTTGTAGATTTGGAAGAAGCCGTTGATTATTATGTAAAATCTAGTGACAGCATATTACCGTTGAAATCATTCTTGATATGTAGTTGTAACGATAAACCTGCTCAGGTAAGAAATCCCAATAATGCCTATGTGCAGGAATCGTGTTTGACTGCTGTTGGACAGGGCGTTTACTTTTTTCCCTTGTTGTTCACTCATTTGAATTTTCTTTCCTTGCATTCTTTTGGTATTCTGGCATCAAACACACCTGTGTTTTTTACATCATTTTAAAACGGGTTCTAAGAAAATAACCTTAGTTACTTTATGCAATCATTGTTTCTTTTCGTTTTGGTAAGCTCTTGTGGGAAATGTAGCAGCGTTTAATGCCGAATACGGATGTACCAATTGTTTGATACAAGGAACGAAAATTAAAGCAGGTAAAGTGAACAGACGAACGGGTCAACAAAATACTATTCGAGTATTTCCTTCGGGCGACGACCAAGAAGTGTTACGGACTAATGAAACATATGATAGTAGTATTCTTGATTTAACGATGAAGAAAAGGAAGAAGAAGATCAAGAAAAATAAGAAAGTTCTGAAAGAAGGTGTTAATGGACATTATGGTATTTGTGCACTAAGAGCGTTAAAGTATTTCGAAATGGGCGCTTCATTCGCTGTTGACAGTTTACATACCATCTGCAGAGGAGCAATGAATCGGCTATTAACGTTGTGGTTAGACGGGAGTTACAAAGGAGAAAATTACTCTGTTTGTAATCGATTAACGGAAATTAACGAACGATTATCCTCAATAAGGTACCCTTCAACAACTTCCCGAAAACCACGAAGTTTGACAAAATATTACCGTTATAAAGGTGCGTAAATATTTGATTGTACATCTGCTCTAAATGCCACTCACGGATTGAACGACGAACTTCCGACAACATATCGTGTACTGATTACTCATTCTCTGCGGTTGTGAGCTTACGAAGGAACATATCCAAGTGTGACTCCTAGTTTTTGTTGAA